ATCCATATCTGTGTATATCATTTGACAAAACTTTGAACAATAAAGAAGCTGAAGTAACATTCGATCATGTATATGCATGCATGCATGCAACAATTGAGCAGAATGTAATATACTTGCTATTAGATTAGTAGTGAATCTATTTTTGATGGATACTGATAAACCATATGATATGAAATTCGTCAAGAATGGATTCGTTGATACGAACCATCGTAGCAAGATGATTTTTTAATTAAAAATACTTTATCATAAATTGATAATTGATTAAATTTTGGAATACTGTATGAATAGATCAATGGTCGATAGCAGAAAGCTGTAGGTATGAAATTTTTTAATGATTTACAAGTCCATTGAAAATATTTACAAAAAGGTATTGATCAAATTATGCTACATATATTAATTGATTATATGTTGAACGATGTAAGCTCAATGATCGAAAATATGTACGATAGGAAAGGTTGAAATTTTGTTGTTTTGATTTACTTCAAATTAATAGATTTATTGAATTTCTAAACTTTTATTCGATTACTAGTTTAAGCTATGACTAATATTCTACTTATAACGGATGTACCATGAATAATTATCCTCTTAGTATTTTTAAGATTTCTCCTCAATTATTCGATTGATTAAAACACTTTTTTCATCAAAAGATAGCACTTGAAATTCTCTACAAAACCATATATAACTAGCTAGATTCTAAAACTGTTTTAGATATAGTTGAAAAAAGATGAAAAATAAAGACATACAAAAAGTTGTCAAAAGTAATGGATTGACCATAATGAATTGCCGCAGTATGCATTCCATTTTTTCCTCACTTACTTCGTCTTATTAGAAAAACAAAATATGTCAAAACATGCAGCATCAAAACCTCTACAATTTAGATAAGATCGTCTATTTTATAGTTACAATTTTTGTTTTCAAAATGATCAAAGTTTTGAGCGATCAAATTTCGACCGTGCGAAAATGATATAGTTTTTACTATAAGATGATTTCGTTTTTTCTTATTTTCTCTTTTTTTTGTAATTTTTTCTTTGTAAATTGAAGAGTTTTTCATGCTGCATCTTTTGATATATTTTGTTTTTCTAATTGAACGAAGTAAGTGATGAAAAAAAATGGGATGCAAAGTGCGGCTATTCATTATGTTCAACCCATTACTTTTGACAGCTTTTTGTGCGTCTTTATTTTTCATCTTTTTCAAATATATCTAAACTAGTTTTAGAATTTTATAGAGAATTTCAAGTGCTATTTTTTGTTAAAAAAAAGTGTTTTAATCAATCGGACAATTGAGGAGAAATTTTAAAAATGCAAAGAGGGTAATTATTTATGGCCTCCCCCCCGTTATATGAAAATCTTGAATATCAGAAATTGTATCTAACAGCAAGTGTGTGGCAACGATGACTTTAAATAAAAAAAGATCTTGTGACTAGTGAATATTATAAATCTCGTTAAAAACTTTGATAGTATGTAATTTTATGTGAATTTTAAATATTCTAGATTTTCTAATATATGAAATTATTCTATTGTCGAAAGATGCGAAACATAGTATGTTCGTTTAAACACAAATATTGATAAAATCTACATCGGTAACATTCCGTCAAATACTTAAAGTTTTCTAGTAATGCTATGAATATTTTTATTTGAAATATTCTTGCTTAGAAATTTAAAATCTACTGACAATATCTTAACATAAAAGATGTATCATTTGATCTAGATGAATCTTTCATACTACGGATTAACTTCGAAAAATATTTGTGTTCTTATTGAACTCATCTATAACTTTTAAATTATTTTTCTTATGTATTTTTCTTTTTTTTCTATAAGTAATACTATAAACAAAAATATTTAATCATAACGATAAATAATAAACAAAACTTGTATAAAATCTTTTAAAAAGAAATAAATAGTAATTTTAAATAGTCGTCGATTTCTGCATAATCTATAAATTATATCTATCTTAATCCTACGCAATCATATTCACTGGGAAAAATTTGCTATCAGTTGTATTCTACAACAAATACCAACTAATATGTTTGACATGTTCATTAATGCAAGTTCAATACATATTAAATTTGGTGTTCGAAATATTTAATAAACTGTACTATAAAACTTTCAGTTGTTTCTCTCAATTTCTCTTGAAGTTATTTTAATTCTAATCAGCTATCTCAAACAACATATGACACACACACACACATATATATTTATATATACCTAGCAAGTACATACAGAATCTAAACTTTGAACTGTGGACTATTGCGTATATTTTTCTCTATGTTTTTTACAGGTTGTTTTCGTACATTATTATCGGCTCCTGATCGAATGAATCATTTTTGCACTTCAATTCGAAGAAAACTTTTCTATTCGGCAGCAATTGCACACACGACGATATTCATACCTTGTTGTGCAATCACTATCTTCTCAACTAATAAATTTCAATTTTCTAAGAAAAAAAAAGAGTAGAAAATGTAAACAAATAAGAAATAGGAAAAAATTAACATATACTAAGTTTAATTGCATTTGGTCAAAAAATGGTTTACATCACAGATGCTGAAATAGTAGAATTAATATCCATAAGCAACGTTATCCCATACTAAACATGTGACTAAATTGTCGTCATGTAATTTATATACTTCAATAATATATCCAGTAAACTTTATAAGATATTTTCATGTGAATTGTTGATGAAAATGAGACGGATAGAAGATATAGCATATGATGTTAGGTTGTAAAATTTTTTCATTGTGGTACACTTGTTAATCATAAATGTAATCTAAAAATTAAAAACAAACAAACCGTTTCCGTACAAAAATTTTGAATGAATTCATCGATATAGACATTTTTATTCATTTAGATTTTATTTTTATAAAATAATTGATTAGACAAATACTGGTCTTCGTTATATATGTATAATATGGATGCTTTTCTGTCCAATAACATGAATTTTTTGTTAATTATATCAATTAAAATGATGCAAGATGATAATATTCTCTTAATTGTCAGCATAAAATTTTATCAATTAAGAATTTAAAGAGACTTCTATGCTCATTCAAATTTCTATACAAGGCTCAAAAAGTGACAACGTGACATTTCTTTTTTAAATAACGGATCAATTTTTTCATGATTTACTAATTTCTTTTCTGAATCGTGTCATTTTCTTCAGACGCGTTTAGTTTCTTTCATCCAGTTTATGAATAACTGTACGTCGTTTCAAAGAAACAAATCAACTTTGCAATATGAGAATAGCCGGAATAAATTAAATTAAATTTAGCAGGTCAAAAAGATGTATAATATTACTGAATAGATGCAAAGGATTTACATTATTAGATATTAACTGTAATGTTATCTAATGGTTGATACACATCCATAGCATATTAATAACGAATTTAGTTATTTCTACATAATTGTATTACTAAATCAATGTTAAATAATATAGATATACTACCTATAAATAAATTGTCGAATAGATGATGAGGAATATCTTATCTAAATAAAAAATCTTTTATAAAAAAGAACTACAAACTTACAACAGAGAAAATGATGTTATCTAGAGAACTTGGACTATCTAAATTCCCATGTTGGTTTTAAACTAAAATGTTACACAGTGTAACAAACTTTAGTATAACTTGTGAGGAAATCTCATCATCTGATATCTTCCATTGGAGGTCATATTTTGCTCATGATTAAGACTTACAGTAGAGATAAAACTCTGAGAAGGATTCTTCCCATTACGCCTTTCTTCTCCAGTTTTAATCATCTTATTAAATTTCCAGTCTATTGCGTTATATTACGAGAAAAATTAAATCGAGTAATTTCAAACTGAAATTTCGCCCAAAAATAGATCTTACGACTAACACGTGCACAGAATAGATCTTTTCTCATTAAATCAGATTTGTTTAGCATCTTGAGAAGAAATCATCGGTTTTTGGCTAAAATTTGCAGAATATTATTAGAAACATGAGATCTAATTTTGGACGAAATTTTAGATTCGAAATTTCTTGATTTAGGTTTTTCGTAATACTCTACAATAGACTGAAAATTCAGTAAAATGATGATAACTCGAGGACAAGAGTCTAGCGGAAAGAATGAGTTTAGGATTTTTTATCAATACTAAAAGATCTAATTATGAGCAAAATATGAACTCAAACGAATGATATCATTTGGTGAGGTTCCCTCGTTATCACAGGAAGAAAATGTTTTCCAATGGTTGCATTCTTCAATAAACAAAATCAATTCAAATTAATTATTATTTGTATTTAAAATACATGTGGAAGAACAAAAAATGAAATTAGCTTGGATTTGACATAGGTTTTGCAACAAAATAAAAGTAAAAAAACAGCAATATTCATATATATATATATATATAAACATTACTGTTCATATGTGATTACCAATAGAACCAACAATATAGAGCTTGATTTTGTTTAAATTATGATAAATTTGAATGATGCCAGTGCGCATCGTCAATTTTTTCATAGAGATTGAAGAACACTTCGTCAATATGAATATCGCATTTGTTTAAATACATTCATTGTATAAAAATGAAACTTGTCATCGATATTGATTATTAATAAATCAAATGATTTGTTTTTTTTTCTTATTAAGCTATGAACAAGGTTTCATATCAACATCATTATCATAATCTATCTTGTCACTGTTTTCTATTTTAGGCCACATACTTTGCATTAAGGGGTTCATTTGTTCGATTTCATGTCCTAGATTATACATGTAACGTTCTACGATAAAGCAAGAATGTTGAAGATAAAGTAAATCTAAGATAAGTTTATTGAAAAATTTTACTGCATCTTCTTCGAACGGTAATTTTGATAGGATATATCGCCATAATAATTCAACATAAATACATTGACCAGCAAATACTGCTAATGTATTATGGAAGATACGATCCATATCTGTATCCTTACGGTATCTATTAATACCACTTGATAAACTTCGAACAATAAGAACAAGTTTAAGTAAAATAGGATCATATGTATATGTCAGTATTCTCTTTGAACATTCTATGACAATCTTGGATATGTTGAGACCAAATATATTATTAAGTGAAGAAACTAAATTTTCATTCATAGATCTAGCAAGTATTAATTCATTAATAGTAACCATTCCTCCAAAATGATTTCGAATTAACCGTATTTTGTCATCTATGAATAAGTTATTAAATTCAGGAATATGTTTAAAAAATTCAATTAAAATTTTGTGTCGTTCTTCATATTCATTGAAAAATGTATGTACACTTTTATGTTCTATCGCAGGAAACGGTTGATATTGACATTTGGTTGTTGTTCCAAAAATTTGTTCATAAGTACTAAATATATTTGTAAGAAGAATTTGATCAGATGATGATAAATATGTTGGCATATTTTGTTCCAAATAACATAGAGTCCCTGGTCGAATCTATAAACAGCAAATTTATATGATTTGCTCTTAGTCAAACATTTCTTCATATTACTACATGTTTTTCTTATTTTATGTGAACGATATTTTTTTTTTCTTATTTATTTCTGAATGAGAGTTTTCTTAAAAGCCGTAAGAAATTTTCTTTTTTGCTAAATTTTTTAATCAAAAAGAGTAAAATGAAGAAAACTAAATATACCATGATGAACTAGTAAATAAGTCATGAGATACTCTTTCTTTTGTAATCAAAAGAAATTAATCATAAAGAAGTGAACTGTAATTTGTTCTACTGTGATAATTATAAATAATGAGAAAGGAGAAGAAAAGAAAAATACTTCTGCTGTTCGACTACCTTGTAGTATAGAGTGTTGCCTAGTGGTAGACTCATTAACCTGATTATCTTCCCTAAAACTATGACTGATGGTAGCTCTAGATAGAAATCCTGTCTGACATAGAGTTCGTGCGCTCAATTGTGCAAACTTCCCATAGACACTAACTATTTGAAAGAGCAGGTGTATGTCATAATAGAGGCAGCATGCTATCGGGCGAATAATTTGAGACAAGCAGACGTTATCGACTTGTCGAGAGTCATTTCATGATTAGTGGTAACAACATTTGAATATAGTACCTCGGGAATAACTGTTCAACAATGTAGGTACTCAGCCATGGTGACTATCAATATGAATAATAAACTGAAAATAATATATCATTATGCCTATCATTATCTATTAAAAATATGTACATCAGTATTTTTAGGATAGGATAAATATTAATTGATATATTTCAAACATTTCTCAACGAAGACAAACAATTAATATATCTATTCTTAAATGGTTTTGGTCTTTGGCAATAATAATAACAATTTGAATTATTTTTTCAATGATCGTTTGATTATTAGTCTATCATCTATAGAATTTTATCGTCATTTAATGAGTCTTATATTCAATACATTTTTTCTAATTATATATTTTTTCTATATGTTTTTATATATAGATATGTTGTACGTACTAAACTTAAATTTTGTATTATTAATTGCGCACGTTTTTGTCGATTTTGTTGAACAAGTTCTTTTCGCGCTAATCTCTGAGCTTCAGATAGAATTAATGATTTTTGCATTCCNAGAGATTGAAGAACACTTCGTCAATATGAATATCGCATTTGTTTAAATACATTCATTGTATAAAAATGAAACTTGTCATCGATATTGATTATTAATAAACCAAATGATTTGTTTTTTTTTCTTATTAAGCTATGAACAAGGTTTCATATCAATATCATTGCCATAATCTATCTTGTCACTCTTTTCTATTTTCGGCCACATACTTTGCATTAAGGGGTTCATTTGATCTATTTCATGTCCTAGATTATACATGTAACGTTCTACGATAAAGCAAGAATGTTGAAGATAAAGTAAATCTAAGATAAGTTTATTGAAAAATTTTATTGCATCTCGTTCGAACGGTAATTTTGATAGGATATATCGCCATAATAATTCAACATAAATACATTGACCAGCAAATACTGCTAATGTATTATGAAAGATACGATCCATGTCTGTATCCTTACGGTATCTATTAATACCACTTGATAAACTTCGAACAATAAGAACAAGTTTAAGTAAAATAGGATCATATGTATATGCCAGTATTCTCTTTGAACTTTCTATGACAATCTTGGATATATTAAGACCAAATATATTATTAAGTGAAGAAACTAAATTTTCATTCATAGATCTAGCAAGCATTAATTCATTAATAGTAATCATTCCGCCAAAATGATTTCGAATTAACCGTATTTTGTCATCTATGAATAAGTTATTAAATTCAGGAATATGTTTAAAAAATTCAATTAAAATTTTGTGTCGTTCTTCATATTCATTGAAAAATGGATGCACACTTTTATGTTCTATCGCAGGAAACGGTTGATATTGACATTTGGTTGTTGTTCCAAAAATTTGTTCATAAGTACTAAATATATTAGTAAGAAGAGTTTGATCAGATGATGATAAATATGTTGGCATATTTTGTTCCAAATAACATAGAGTCCCTGGTCGAATCTATAAACAGCAAATTTATATGATTTGCTCTTAGTCGAACATTTCTTCATATTACTACATGTTTTTCTTATTTATGTGAACGATATTTTTTTTTTCTTATTTATTTCTGAATGAGAGTTTTCTTAAAAGCCGTAAGAAATCTTCTTTTTTGCTAAATTTTTTAATCAAAAAAGAGTAAAATGAAGAAAACTAAATATACCATGATGAACTAGTAAATAAGTCATGAGATACTCTTTCTTTTGTAATCAAAAGAAATTAATCATAAGGAAGTGAACTGTAATTTATTCTACTGTGATGATTATAAATAATGAGAAGGGAGAAGAAAAGAAGAATACTTCTGCTGTTCGACTACCTTGTAGTATAGAGTGTTGCCTAGTGGCAGACTCATTAACCTGATTATCTTCCCTAAAACTATGACTGATGGTAGCTCTAGATAGAAATCCTGTCTGACACAGAGTTCTTGCTCTCAATTGTTCAAACTTCCCATAGACACTAACTATTTGAAAGAGCAGGTGCATGTCATAATGTAGTCAGCATGCTATCGGGCGGATAATTTGAGACAAGCAGACGTTAGCGACTTGTCGAGAGTCATTTCATGACTAGTGGTAACAAAATTTGAATATAGTACCTCGGGAATAAGTGTTCAACAATGTAGGTACTCAGCCATGATGACTATCAATATGAATAATAAACTGAAAATAATATATCATTATGCCTAACATTATCTATTAAAAATATGTACATAAGTATTTTTAGGATAGGATAAATATTAATTGATATATTTCAGACATTTCTCAACGAAGACAAACAATTAATATATCTTTCCTTAAATGATTTTGGTCTTCGGCAATAATAATAACAATTTGAATTATTTTTCCAATTATCGTTTGATTATTATTCTATCATCTATAGAATTTTATCGTCATTTAATGAGTCTTATATTCAATACATTTTTTCTAATTATATATTTTTTCTATATGTTTTTATATATAGATATGTTGTACGTACTAAACTTAAATTTTGTATCATTAATTGCGCACGTTTTTGTCGATTTTGTTGAACAAGTTCTTTTCGCGCTAATCTCTGAGCTTCAGATAGAATTAATGATTTTTGCATTCCAACGCGAAAACATTTTGCTAATCGACAACAATTGCATATACGACGAGATTCATATGCTACTGGACAATCACCGTCTTCTTGACAAATAAAATCAATTGTCTAGAACAGAAAAAAACAACGAGTAGAATAAATAAACAACATGAAAAATAGAAAAAAATTAACATACGCCAAGTTTAACAGCATTTCGTCGAAAAAATGCTTTACATGGCATACATGTTAGTACACCAAAGTTAATACCAACAGCAGCATCATTACATACTAAACATTGACCAACTTGTCGTGATTTCATAGACGTATATTCAATAAATATTATTCTAATATATAATTTTCCTTAGTTAATTTCTGTTTATTATAAAATCCAAAATTAATATATATCTAAAACACACAGACAATAATTACATTTTAATGTCATCAGAGATGTTTAACTTTTAAAAAAATTTCCATGTTAAATTCGAAAACAAATGAGAAATATTAAATGTAGTGTGCCACTCTGTCCAACCAGGCGCCTCTCCGAAGATCAAGTTGATCCTACTACAGAATCTGTATATTGTACCATATACTGTATGTTTATGCTTTCAAAAATAAGTATTTACCCTTCAGAAAATTNTTTTGTATCACCATGAGTAATCTGTCCACTGTAGCCAGAGAATTCTATAGCATCTTTTGGATAATTATGGAAAAAAAGTGGTACAGGTGCAAGACGCATGAGTGCACCATTACCAGCGACAACAGACGTACTGCAGTGTACTTTAAACTTTCGAAGAAGACTATGATCTGAAAGATAATCTAGTTTTTCAATAGGAATATGATGTTTTTTGGCAAATATTGTTTGACGATAAATAAATTCTTGTAGTGACTGGGAAGTAGCTGCACCAATGTCAAAACAACATCCAGTGGATGACATATATCCAGACTCAAACCACCATTTATAACGAACTAATTGATCATAAGGTACAAAACCACGACGAGCTACTAATGAAATAGCCAAACAAAGAGCCATTGAGGTGTCATCTGTGAACTAGAATATTTATATCTTCTACGATAATTGATAAGGAGAAGTTTTCGACAATATCATTCGATATTAATTAAAAGATTTTATAATATAGTGCATTAGCTTTCATAAATAATATATTTTAGAGTTTATAGTCGATTGTAATCATTAGCAGCTCGCACAGATCAAAACAAACCGTACGTAAGGTTAAATAATCTTTTAAAAAGTAGTTATCTCAACAAGTATTCTTGTGATGTCAAAATTACTTCCGATTAGCCTTAAATAGATCCTTTTTTTCGCTTATACACGTAATAATAAGATTTTCGTCCCAATTTACGTAAAAACAGACGCAGCTAATAGTTTATATAGGAAAATGCTTTTTCTTTTCGGAAATGCATATGCTTAGTATATTATTTAGCTAATCTAGTTCTATATAGCAATACATTTTCAAATAAGATCTCAAATATTTTAATCAAATTAGATATAAAATAAAAGAGACGGTTTTAGAAGTCGTTTCGTATAGTTTCTAATTTCTAACGAAATAATAGAGTACTTGATTTATGCGATCCATTGTTTTTTTGGATGTTGTTTTTTTTTTAAACGGTAGTAGATATCAATTGACGACATAAGGATGTCATATATGCTGTGTGCTCATGACTAAATCAACACACTCAAGATTGACGAAGGCATGACTTTCTCTTGTGTTCTCGATGAAGAACGAAAAGAAAAACGTTAGTTTTGTTAGTGAAAAACAAGTACAATTCGATAGACAGCAGCCAACTCTTTCTTTCAACAAGTCAAACAAAAGATTAAACGAAAGTGGATGCCTAGTGATTCTTTTATGACATTTATTGTGTGAAATGTTTGCGTCTACCCATAGAAAAATTTACATCAACCTTATGAAATGTTTCACCAATCTGCCAATAATGGTAGTCGATAGTGAGAAATTCTATCTAACGATTCAAACTTCAGATGTTTCTATGAGATTCGTTTCTTTTTGTAATAAAAAAACTTCGTGAATTATTATATTAGTTTTCTCTATTGTAAAATACGATGAAGAGACAATACCTGTCCTTTTTTGAGACCCCATGTCCCGCCACCTTCCAAATCTTTTACTGGATTTGCAAATAAATACTCATGAGGACGAAACTCAACATGTGCTCCAAGAGCATCACCTATAGCCATTCCAATCAAAGAACCAGAGATTTGATCCAGTAGTTTTTCATCGATTAGGCCAGGTGGTTCTTGCATTTCATTTTCAAGCTCATCAGGTTTCTTAATTGTATCATCTGTATGATACTGAAGATTAAGCCAATTTTTCTCTGAACCTACAGAGAAAGAAAAAATTAATAAAATACGCTTTCTATATCTATTCTAAAGCAGATTATATATTTAAGAAACACTATGTTTGAATTGAAATAATAGTTTTTTTTTTTTAATGTGGAAAACTATGAATATCTCACCTGTTTCGAATTGAGGTAATGAATGATTGGCTTGCGATTCTGATCCTAGAACAATAAAATATAAAAATATGAAGATCAAATATTTTTATTGTTAAAACGAAATGATATTCAAGAAAAAAGAGTTAAAACGGATTCACTTTCAACGATGGATGATTCCTTAAATTCATGCTTAACTTGCTACATACTGTTAAAAACTGCTTCATAATTGTGACTCAAAATCTTTTCGTGTCGAAGACTTTTATATTTCGAAAATATCGTCAATCTAATCAAAAGAACTATTGAGGATGGAAATTTGCTTAAAACAGAACTCATGACGTAAATGAATTATGAACTACTTCAAAAGTTCTATTACCTTTTCGAACGATGTCAATCAATGAGAGACCACCACCATTTGTGAAATCTAATTCATTTCCAAAACACCCATATCACTGTTGTGTGTGTCGCTCTTTTCGAGTACGTCAATATTCCGTAGAATTCTCACGTTAGTGCTGCATATGTTTCTCTCACTCTAATGTGGACTTTCGCAGACTCTTATGCATTTTTATGCAATATGAGTTATTTCATAATTCATTTATGTCAACCGATGTCGAAACAACGACGTAGGGAGAATAACAGTAACTCGCATTTTTTACGATCAGATTGTATACAATCTAACAACACCATGGTGAAAGTAAGTGTTTTTGTTGATCATTTAAATATAAATACTTGCTTAGTGAAAAGTGGTAATAAATTACTATTGATTCAATCATGTTTTTTTGTCTAATCCATGAAAAACACAGTATAAAATAAAATCTTACTTCTAGAAGATAATAGGTCTCTGAACCACTTCAAAGAGTTTCGAAAAATATTCATTTTTAAAGTTAAACCAAGAAATCTGCTTGTTTTTGTTTTGTATTTGTAATTTTACTATCACATGCTTTTTTTTGCAGGAGAAACTTTTTTTCTTCGTTCTTTTCTTTTATTTCTATTTTACCCTGCTTTTATAAAAATCTTTTTTCTTTTCTGTTTGCTGTATATACACTTTCAACAACAAAAAAGGTCACCAATGAAAATATTTCATTATGAAGGAACAAATCTCAGGTGAAACAGAGTCCGTAACAGGTAAATGTGTATACCAGAATATTCTGCTTATTGTTTTACAGAAACTTTTGATGAACCCTTGAATTATTAATTGTCTTTTTAAAGCCAACAACGATTTTTGTAAGGAAAGTTAACCACCGATTCGAGCTTTTTTAAAACCAATTCACATCATTCACTGAGTCAACTAAACAATACAGTGACCAAGATGCAGCTAGATGAGCTCTATCGGAAGGTGTATTCACATTTTTTATCAAAAGTAACTGACACGAATGAAAGCGAAAATATTGATTTTTGCGTATAGAAAGAAAAAAAAAGAAAGAAAAGCTTTTCTCTGACGATTTGCTGGGCAAACTCTATCGAATGGTATATGTTTCATTCGATTGAAAACAGCAAGATTTTAGCCAAGAACTCTAAAAAAACTAAAACCGAGTTACAAGCCGGCACTTCCTCTGACGATTCGCTTCACAACCTCAGTCTCTCGAAAGCCGTAAGTCAATGGAAAGAGCTCGTTCAACTGCATCGATCAACAAAACTTCATTAGTGTCTCATAGTGTGAAACAATTCATTATCGGCAAGAACGGCTGAGAACCTGGTTTTCATATTCCAGCCATCCAGGCTATGGGTGCTTTGGTTTTAACATATGAAATATTTAACATGTGATAGAGCTTGTTGAGCTACATCGAATGAGTTAAGTATCATCCGTGACTCAGGTCGCTGATCGAACCGTCAGACAAAAGCTTTTTGTTGCGTTTCGATAGACGAAAATCAATACTTTTAGTTTCATTTGTGCCAATCAGTTTTCATAAAAAATGTGAATACAGCTTTCGATAGAGCTTGCCAACTTCCATCCAATTCACTACATTCCTTAATTGACTTGGTAAATGGGGTGAGTGTTTAAAAAAAAAACTCTAATCAGCTATTGTTATAAGTTCTGACATGGATGTGGGTGTGGATGAAGGAGCGATCAACATCTATCAGCATACATATGTTGTGCGCTTTTCACGAATTCATAAAGTTCTCTGAGTTTCAAGAGTTCCATGATCTGCTGGAGTGTCGTGTGTTCCTTCAGTTATTTAGATTCTTTGGATTCCATGAGATACTTGAGGTCTGTTGGTTTCATGAGTTCTTTGTATGGCTTAGTCAGTTAGCATTAGAGTTTGGTGGCGTAAAAAAAAATTAGAACTGAGAACCAAACCAAAATAAATGACAAAAACGCTTTGAAGCTGCAACAGGAACAGAAACCGTTCAATCATCTGATAAATGCAATATTTCTTGAATATATGTCGAGAAACCTCCAGTTTTTCATTCTTGAGATCAAAAATTTCAGTATAAATGTATAATATTGTGTTGTTCAGGAACTAAAATATGTGGCATCTTTAATATCAATAATTTAATAGTAAAAATATCTTGAAATATATTTGAAATGCTTGTATCTATCTAATGATTTAACAGTTTTGGTTCCATATGACGTTTTGGGAACCGAACCAGAACTGCTTTTTTCTCATTTTTAATAACCAGAATTGGAGTCAGGACCGGGGCTCCGGATAATCGTTGAAACCGTCAAACTCTAGTTAGCACACTAATTAGCTCCATCATATTTGTATCAATCTTAGTGCATTACAGCGAAGTTGAACTTTGAGGAGTTCCAGAAGGTCAGAATGCACGGAATTCGAACATGTTTCAACTGATATATTGATAGATCGAGAACGTTCTGGAACACTCAAAAATAACAGAATAGAAGTTGACGAAGTTTATGATGTTTTTGGAAATGAATTACAATCATGTTCGAAGTGTCGATCTGCTCCATTCCATGAACAACAATGGCTTGAATTATGACTAAATGACTTTCATTGAAACCGCACAGGATGCAATTTGTTCATGGAATGGAGCAAACCGTAGCGGCAGTTGGAACATTCGATTGAGGCTTATTTTTCACAAACAAAGTGAACTTCATCAACAATTGTAAAGAACATATTTACAAATCATTAAAAAAAACAATAAAACTGCTTGAATTGTATAACAAGTATTCACGTTAACGTTTTCGACAGACTTATGACATCCTGTAATATAATTTCGTTAGAAAAATATGAACAGTAACTGTCATATTGTGCTCGACCGCTATATTTATGCGGCTTATTCCCTCGACTGTAGGGAGGGTCATATGAAAAAAAATAGTTTGTGTGTGTGTGTATGTGTGTCTGCATCGGGGTCAAAAAAACATTAGGGTCAAAAAAACTTTCACTTTAGAAAATTTTCCATAAAGGTTGACGAAAGTAAATCGGGGTCGGGGAATCCGAATCTGAAGTTAGTTTCTTAAAATTTTGAATCAGGTTTTTAGGGTAAAGAAAAGAGATTTTGAGAAAATAATGATATTTTATAAAGGTTGACGAAAGTAAATCGAGGTCGGGGAATCCGAATCTGAAGTTAGTTTTTCAAAATTTTGAATAGAGTTTTTTAGGTTAAGAAAAGGGTTTTTTGAGAAAATAATGATATTCCCTCGACTGTAGGGAGGGTCATATGAAAAAAAATAGTTTGTGTGTGCGTGGCTTTGTGTCAAGGTCAAAAACACACAAGGTCAAAAAAACATCTAAGTTGATTTTTTTAGAAAGATTGACGAAGGCAAACCGGGGTTGGAGAATCCGAATCTGAATTTAGTTTTTGAAAATTTTGAATTAATTTTGTTTAGGTTACGGAAAGGGTTTTTTGAGAAAATAACGGTATTATACAAAGGTTGACGAAAGTAAATCGGGGTCGGAGAATCCGAATCTGAAGTCGGTTTCTGAAATGTTGAAATGAACTTGCTAGGTTGAGGAAAGGGCTTTTGAGAAAATAACGATGTTTTAAAGGTTGACGAAAGTAAATCAAGGTCGGAGAATCCGAATCTGAGGTCAGCTTCTCGAAATTTTGAATTGAATTTTTTTGGTTCACGAGAAAAGGTTTTTTTGAAAAAATAATTTTTTCTAGAGCGTAGGAAGGGTTATATGAAATAAAATAAATTTTTGTTTGTTTTTGTCAGAGTGAAAGGTGAAACGTGATAAAAAATGTTGGCTAAGTGTTTGATTCTCGTACTTTTAATGTTGAACTTTCAACCAATTCGATCTTTCAGACTGAAAATTAAGTTAATCCGACATATATGATAAGTTCTCCCTTGATCAGCTGTTTCATAACTGGGTGTCCATGGATGAGACTTGTATACTTCTGTCTGATACAGTCGAGGGTCAAGTGAGTCAAACCGATGAACGTTACTTGTAAAATTACGTTAAATAATGTGACTGAAAGATTAAACATAAATCTCTATTTATTTATTTTTATATAATTAATATCTATGGGAAATATCGTGCTTAATTATATAATAAAAAATTTCCTATATACGTATGACGAAACATCATATCTTTCAGTTCATGTTCGTATTTCAAACTGACATAGAACTTATAGAGATTGTCGTCGCTTTAAATAACCAGTAACAATTATTGTCTCTTTTCTACGTAAATTCTTCCATGACATATTTTAAATAATTAAAAAAAGGAAAACTTAAATTGATCTCAATAGGCGGATTGTAATCAGCAACCAGAGACATCTTTTCTAAATTATTTCATGAGCAATAATGATTGTTTGATTCAACTTTTGTGTCCTACTAATGATTGAACGTTTCATGCTCTTCTTCTTCTTCTGCTTATCATTAACAGTCTGGTATAAAATCACTTGAATAAGTTTTAATGTCAATTGATGTGAAAAAAAAGTCCAACACCGCATGAGAATGAAGGGTAGTTCTCCAGTTTAGGCACAGTGTGTATATATGAACAGAACAGAAAAAAAATTGATTCGCGAAAAATTGACCATTACATATAAAAAATGCATACAGCGACTAGTGTCCTGTGGGAACGACTTTTTCTGATTCCCATTCCCTAAACAAAATTTTTTGTTCCCATTCCCACGTTCCTATTCCCATAAGGTTTTCGAAGGGTCTATTCATCTATGCGAAAGTGTCATTGGCATATATGTATACCAGTTTCTCGCGACATCACGTTTTGCGCATCGCGACGCTGTTACATAGTGCTTCACTTCTTTTCTTTTTCTTTTTCCGTTTTGTTGTTCTTGTCATTTTCGAAGACGATGCTGAAAATGAAAATAATATTTGTGATGATTAAATTACGATGTGGTTAAGAATAAATCAATAGTCTATTTTTTGTTGATACACATTTGTTATTTTTATGTGTATTGAAATAAGATAGAAGGAATTTTGAGAACGTCAATTTTTAATTCTGTTTCCATTCCCTAAGTCTAAATGGGAATGGGAAAATTAGGGGAAAAAGTCGTTCCCGCAGGACACTAACAGCGACTAAATTAATGTATCACTTCTTAAAGATGACAGAAGTGCACTAGTGTCATCTTTAAGCAGTGATATATTACTGCAGTTGCTGTATGCATTTTTTTTTATAAGTGATGATCAATTTTTCGCCAATCAATTTTTTTCTGTTCTGTTTTCATATAGACACTGTGTCTAAACTGGAGAAGTACTAAGGGGGGAAAAGCGCGACTTGCTGTACTTCAGCGTACTCTCTGTACTCTTGGGCTGTAGCGAAGGTTTATCTGCAAACTTTTGTGTTATTTCAACACCTCTAGTGCTCAGCACTCCGGTATAGTAATTGGAGTCCAGTCTGCATAGGGCGGTCAGAATCAGAATCCAAATACTTCATTGTACTCCCAATAAAGGTGAAGTTCAATGAAGTATTTGGACTCTGACGTCTGACCGCCCTATGCAGACTGGACTTATATTACGATACTGGAATGTTGAGCACTAGAGATGTTGAAATAACACAAAAGTTTGCTGACAAATCTTCGCTACAGCCCAGGAGTACGCTGAAGTACAGCAAGTCGCGCTTTTTCCTGCTTGAGAAGTACCAATATTTCTTTAGTTACTATTATAGGTTTTTCAAACGTATGCCATGTTTGCGAAACTAATTTCTTGAAATGTACCCAGAAACACTTCCGTAACTCAATTCATCTAATGTGTTTTATTGAACATAACTTTTAGTTTTCCTGTGCATGGTTGTAGGCCATTTATCGTTAACTATTAATGAATTTGATTTAATTATGTCGCTCACAGACATAGATATGTTATCTGATATATTGCTTTAAAACCTTGAGGAGTATACAGATGTAGTACATAAAGAAACTAAATAAGTTATTTGAATCGTTGACATAGTATTCACATTTTTGTCCAAATAGCCTTTCGAAACATTTTTAATTGTGAAAAGAAGTTAATTTCTGAAAGTTTCACATGAGTTTTTAAAGAAACTTCGCTACTTACTGTACCCTAATTTTCTATCTACGTAACTTGATCGAGTTCAAAAAACGAGGAAAATTATACAAAGACATTTTAACTTAAGATTTTTCGTTCAAAACACAAGTAGAAATATTATTTAGATTTAAATTAGAAAGGATTCTATTACACAAACTCAATATTAGTATCAGATTTCATAAAAGAAATTTCTGCAACTAATACTAAAGAAAAGTTAAAACTTGACTATTTCTGTCTTGTGTTATTATTTATTTTTATTTTCATAATGAAAAAAAAACATCAAAATCCGAATTATGTTACGTTTTGGCGCAAAGATATTAATTTTAGTTTTAATAAATCAGAAAATCAGTGGAGTTTCATAAAGAAAAATAATGAAAATATATTAAAAGATGATAGATTTTTCATTTTATGTGTTATATAAATGACAATAAAAAAAAATGACTCTCTTCATTTACATAGTATTACAAAAGAGTTGCGCTTTCAATTTAAATTCAAAATACATTTCAGTTGCGTACTCATATTACAAATCGTAAAATCATTAAACGAAAAATTCACATCTGCGTTGTCATTACTTTTCTATCGAATGATTAATTTGAGTTTGATTATGACTCAAGTCGTGACAATCCTACGCATTCTTTTTCTTGAATATGATCGTTTATTATGCATGCTTTTCGATACTGCTCGTAAAGAAGCCTACGAAATTGTCGTCGTTTTTATTTTCTTAAATCATGAATTTCGTTGTTAAATAAATATCTTTTCTTATGTTCTCTTACCAATAACAGATTATTTTTATTAGTAATATCTCTTATTATATGTGCAAAAAATAAAAACAAGGAGAAAAAGCATGAGAAAAGTAAAGCGAACGTAACGGTAAATAGAGAACGAAGAAAAAACAACATTACATCAATCGATTAAAAAAAACATATCTTTCAGTAATAAATATAAAGCAAAACCAACCAGCTTTCTTTGTATACTACTGAGAATGGAGAAGAAGGTTCACAACAGGCTTAAGTGGTTTACAACACATATTTTGAGAAGTAAGATTTTAACTTATATTTTACTTTTTAATGATCAATGAAACGGAAAAAAAAGTAATTGGATCAGCAACTAATACTTTACTGGTTGTAGCTGATTAGTTTAGTATACTTGCATCTTCTACAGATAGCACAGTGTCAAACTGGTAATTCGTTTTAATCATTCGTTTTATGACTAAAACACAAATGAGATAGAACTGCATGTTGTTTAAATAAGCTTTAGTTGGATTGTCACCATACAACATCATAGGAGAGCCAAGATTTTATACCAAGGTGTAACAATTAAATGTAATATCTTATTATTATAAAAGAAAAACATATTTTCAACCTTGTATATGCTACTAATAAGTTCTTTAAGTGTGACGATTGTCCCTTCAATTGCCCTCTGGTGGTCAGTCCATACGCGACACTAAGTGGTGCAATAATGAACGAGTTTTATTCTCTGTTAGTAATTTCTTTTTGATATACTTTCTCTTTAGCTCATATATACCATGAAGGTACATTTTTTCAAGGGGAAGGAGCTTCTCTCCCGAAAAATGTTGCACAACAAATTTGTCGTCATTCATACAAGAGTGATCGAATAAAACATTTACATACGATTTTATATGCATTAGACCTTTTTGTTTGAATATATCTTTTTTTCATGATAAAGACATACAATTTATAATATCTTATTTTTCATTGTTTTAGAACCACAGCAAAAAGCTAATTACTCATCATGCCAATTTGAAACAGGTTAGAGTTAATATTTTGTACTTCGAAAAACAGTTTAATACTATCTTCTTTAACTTTTTGCTCTGTATCTTTAGAAAAAAAGTGGCTTTGCCTTCAGTATCATGCAGATGATCAAATTAAGAAACCTGATGAGCTTGAAAATGAAATGCAAGAACCACCTGGTCCAATCGATGAAAAACTACTGGATCAAATCTCTGGTTCTTTGATTGGATTAGCTTTAGGTGATGCTCTTGGAGCACATGTTGAGTTTCGTCCTCATGAGTATTTATTTGCAAATCCAGTAAAAGATTTGGAAGGTGGCGGGACATGGGGTCTCAACAAAGGACAGGTATTGTCTCTTCATCGTATTTTACAATAGAGAAAACTAATATAATAATTCACGAAGTTTTTTTATTACAAAAAGAAACGAATCTCATAGAAACATNGATGAAAAAGTTTGATAAGTTGAGCACTTTTTGTGACGGATCTTGATCTTTTAAATGAGACTATGAAGAAATCTGAGAGTGACAACGATTTAAATGACTGAAATTTTACAAGTTAATTTATTCAGAACTCTTCGTGGTTTCATTTAAAAGATCAGATTCCATCACAAAAAGTACCCAACTCACTGACGTTTTTCGTTTGGTATAATATAGTTAGGGTTTCGAATCAAAAATTTTTATCGGGCCTCTTTCTCTATCAATCATCTCTCGTCCTTTTTTACTATAGAAAAATAATCCCGTACTCAAAGGGTTAAATACGATTCAGTGTTTCATCTAGGTTTTTTCTTCCGAAAGGACGATTTAAAACTTCGGAAGAATGAACATCTATTTTTTAGAGTACACACTTATAGTACAATAGCCACAAACTTCAGAAGAGCCAATCCATTATTTGAAGCAACCTTGCCCTCACATTGAATAAAACACTGATACAATCGCAAGAAAAAAGTTTTTGTTTGTCATATTAATTATAACAAAAAATATTTCATGTTCATATTTTAAGATAGGAATAATCAATAAAGACTCGTCACATGAACTACAATATTGGTCTAAAAACTATCGGGAAAATTAAATATCTCATCAGAAATAAGATAAAAACATAAACTATTTTCAGGATATTCAGTGCTGATTAGGGCCTACATAATAGAGGTGATTTTGATTCGAAAGTGAATTGACATCTGGTAACATTCTCTTGTAATATATCTTTGAAAAAAAAAATTTCGATATGAATGAAACTTTTACTAATATCGTCCAATTTCGTTATTGATAGATTGTTAATCATTTCTTAATCAATAAAGAAAAACTTTTTTTTTTTTTGTGTCATGATTTCATTGTAATCTTAAAATAGAAAACATATTATTCATAAGAGAAGAGAAAAAAGCGAATTACAATTTTTTAGGTAGCTGAAAGATCATTAGCAATATGGTCGAATGAATATATTGTGCAATTAGTTGAAGAAAATCTTGAAGAAATTTTACCTATATTACTTCCACCATTATGTCGAATATCTAAAACACATTGGAATACAAATATAGTAACATTAACATATAATTTATTAAGAAATTTAATGGAAATTAATAAACAACTATGTGATAAAGTTTTAAATACATTACGAGATGATGAAAAAAAGTAAATTTGAATAATTATTCATTGTTTTATTAAAACAAAAAACTGAAAGAACATAAATATTTTTATTTTATTATATAGATTAATAATTAAAGAACAAGATCGAATAAATTCATGGCAACAACTTGAACAGATTAGTTTAGAAAAACAAAAACGATGATCTTCTTACATATTTTTGTACTTGTTGTGTGTTTATTTGTAATCTTTATTTTCATTTTTTGACTTAAGACAATGCAAAAGCATATTTTTCTTCTTCTTCTTGATCATGACGAATGTTCAGTTTTTTTTTATTTGTTTTTTTTTGTCCAAAAAAAAACTTACGCTTTATGACAAACTGATTATTATTATATGCTGAATTATTATGTAAAGATACAGCAAATCCTACTGTATAAATCACTTTAGTTATAGACATTTTTATAAGTGATATGAAAAGACAAAGAAATAAAAGTTTTATTAAATGAATTTATTTTATTGAATAATAATATACAATTCAATTATAATTATTATTTGATTTCTAAAACTAAGAAATTATTAACGATAAATCAATTCTACAATATATGTTAATTAATAACATTTAGCTTTTGAAAAATCTTAAAATTGTTTATTTTGAGATTCATTTTGAATGTTATCATTCAGAAATTTTTATATTATTTTATTTCAATGATTAGAAGTTATCATTAAAGATTTATTTGATATTGCATATTAAATATTAATATGTTTATTAATTGATTGTTCGAATTCTAGAAATTTTGACTAACTTATTCTAATAAGAGATGATCGAAAAATTTTTAGACAAGATTTTTGTCCACTTTTGACCTTCTAGAAAATATTTACAACATATCAAATTCTACGAGTTTGTGCTCTTTTTCAATATGAACGTAGAAATTTTGTCTCAGTTTTTTTTTGCGAGTAGTGAAATAATCTTTGAAAAATTTGATTCGAAACTAAAATTTGGCATCTGTATTTATATATAAACTTGTAAATCAGAAGATATTCTACAAAACGAACTATTTGAAGTTCTTTTTTGTCTTTCGACAAGACACTTCAATTTTTATTTATCTTAAATACCAGTCATTTTTGAAAAATCAACAACCATTTTATGTTGAAGGGAGCTCTTGAAAAAATGTTTTCACTCTCACTTGAGTAAAAGCTATAGCTTAGTTCGATATCACATTTTATAGAGAAGTGTCTGCTCTAGAAAATGACTGATTCCGGCAATTTGTCGTATGTTCACAACAGAACTTATAGAGTAAACAAAAGCTTGTTGACTTACCATGAAAAATAATTTTTCAGGTCTTTCAAAAGGTTTCTCATTACTCTTGAACAAAAAACAGATACAGTATTTCCAAGCCCATATTCAAAATCTGGCTGGGATCTATAGTTTTTGGCTGGTTTCAAATTGATTTTATTGAATTATTCAGAAATATTTTTATTTATACAGAAACTTATTGTATCGATGAATTTATTAATTACGCAAGTTTCAGTAGATTTATTATTAATTAAAATAAAGCTTAAAAACAAAAACAAGCAGAATATTTTTCTTTAATATTTTATTTTACTGGAAAGAAAAAGAGAAAAAATAATCATGCAAACAGATATATGATAAGAATGAACACCTATTGATTTTGTTGATGATACTATTGTTGCCGTTGATGTTTGTGTTACTATTGGCGTTGCTGTTGCTGTTGTCGTTGTCGTTGTCGCTGTCGCTGCTGTGGGTTCGAAAAATTTTGTTGTACTGTCTGCTGGTTTGGAACAAACTGGATGCTGTTGAATATTAATATAACAAGTTATGACACTAATTGTATGCATGATACCATATTTATAGTCGTCAGTCATCTCATACGAAGTGACATTTTTCCATATGTTTGTTGAAATAGGATTATTATCAATAATTATCTTATAATAAGAAAAACTTTCAAGCATTGAAGGAGGTGACCAACTGATTTTAATATGTTTGGAAACTAATATGGCTGCGACATTTTGTGGTGCTAATGGACGACCATGATCAGTTGTAACATTACGCTTTTCAGTAGCACTATCAGTATTTGTTTTACAATTTAAAGTAAACTCATACAGTGTATTCGGTTCAAGATTTGGAATCGTCACAAAACCTATATCTTGCTTGTTTTCCATAAAAGTTAAAATTTGTGCATTATCTCCCAATTTATCAGTGTATACTTCGCATGAACAGTTGTTTTTTGGACAATCTATTACATTTGCCCACAATCTGTAAACATATGTGTACAATAATTAGATAAATTAGAAAATAAAGATTAACTAACTGAACATGAGTAGCATAGATTGTAGGTGGAGCAGTGATTATTGTTATAGGAGCAAGCGCCTCGAAAGAGTTGATTGTTAATTTTGCATATATGATTGAAATAAATAAAGAAAATACGATTAGTTGTTGTTGATATCCTTGCATGTTTCTCACACGTAACGTGTATTGAAGAAGAATGATAAGAATATTTGATGATGGGGTCTTTTTATCTGCATATTTTCAATAATCGAGAGAGAGAGAGACACAAGGTTTATTTTTCCATTAATATTGACACACAAAAAAATGAGTAATCCAAAAATAACATCATATCATAAAGACAGATATGAGAAAATAAGAATATGAATTGTTCAATATGCTTTACAGAAAAAATTAATATAAAATATTGAACCTTTCAATGCTATCATCTGTCTGTTATTTTATTAATTTTAAGTTAAAAATGTTTTATGAAATATTTGAATTCTAAAGATAAAAAACAACAAGGAATCATTTGTTGATGAATAAAATCACATCTTTATTTTTTCTCATCATGATGAATAAATTCATGCGTCATTGTATTCGAGATATATTTTTCGATTTAATTTTTCTTATGCGATATTATCACCAAAAAAAAAAAAACAGACTTTTTATAAAATAGAAATGGAATTTAAGAGTACATTTTCTATATAGATAAAAATAATCATAATTAATATATATGTAATCTAATGATGATAATTTGACTATCTTTCTATTGTATAAATTTTATTCAATTAAATTCATATTAAATCTCTTTAAATTTATTGATATTGACAGAGATATTTTTGAAATATTTTGATATTCTAATGTGATAATTATAAATATATAAATTCATATAGGATTTGATATGATCAAGAATCATTATCTGATTGATTATAGTCAAGTTCAGAAATTCTGTTCTTTTTTATTTGGTTTCAGATTTATTATTCATCTTCAAGTGATATTTATTAATGAGAAACGATAGATAATTATTGGTCCTACTTCATCATCATATGGTTTGTGCTCTAACATCTGCTCCATTTTTGTTCTAGTTGTTGCAAAAAAAAGAGAGTCATTTTTATAGTAGGCGGATCGTGAGATGAGAGAAAAAGAAAGAGAACAAATGTATATTTATGTCCGACAGCGAAAAAAAGTCATTCACAGTGAGTAGAATTTACTGCAAGGGAATTGGTCGCCGCTATACGTCTGACCGTTTGTTTGCTTGTGTTCGATGATGTACGAACAAGGCATAGAGCGATGAACTCTCTACTACAGAACGAGCAGAATAAAATGCAAACATGTACGCTCACACATATATATATCCACTTCCCTTTTTTTCCCATTTTTCTTTAGCATTTATGTGTGAATGGCAGAAAAAAAGCAAAGATTTTGTTTCTCTTTTTGAAAAAAATTGTGTGAATATTTTATAAGATTATATCAATTAATTGGATCAAATGAGTATCTATCGTAATGTCAAGTGTGTGGTTGTCGGTGATGGTGCGGTAGGTAAGACATGTCTACTCATGTCATATACCACCAATGCTTTGTAAGTATTCTTTTGCTTATGACATTCTATCTATAATAAATTATTTCATTTTGATTGTTTTCAGTCCGGGTGAATATATCCCAACAGTGTAAGTTTAAATAACTTATACAATAAAATTCGATTGTTATTTTTCATCTGTAGATTTGACAATTATTCAGCAAATATAATGGTCGATAATGAACCAGTTAATCTTGGTTTATGGGATACGGTAAATAGTTTGTTTGTTTTCTCTATTGTAAATTCTTATATAAATATTTATTTTCTTTATTAGGCTGGTCAAGAAGGTATATTCAATTGGATAAAATCAAATTAAATATAAAATCAATTATAAATTTTAGATTACGATCGTCTTCGTCCATTATCTTATCCTCAAACTGATGTATTTCTTGTTTGTTACAGTGTTGTTAATCCTGCATCATTTGATAATGTTCGTGCTAAATGGTCACCAGAAATAAAACACAACAATCCTGATACACCTGTTGTACTTGTTGGTACAAAATTAGATTTACGTGATGATAAACATACTATTGATAAGCTTTTAGTAAGAAGAAAAAAAAACTAAAAAAAAAAAGCATTTTGTTTTTATTTTTATAAATTAGGCTCGAAAATCAGCTCCAATTAATACACAAAAAGGTTCAATGATGGCACAAGAAATAGGAGCTGTTGCTTATATTGAATGTTCAGCATTAACACAGAAGAATTTAGCACGTGTTTTTGATATTGCTATTCGTGCTGGTTTAGGAAAATATCCAAAAATGAAACAACGAAAAAAATCACAATGTCTTTTATCATAAGTATTCTCTCTATTCAATGTGTATAATATTCTTGTAGATAAATAAATAAATATGTATGAATACGGGTTTTTTTTTCTCTCTCTTTTCTTTTATTATTACGATAAAAAGATATAACAAATGAAAATATTATTTAAGCATTAGACGTGCTTTTTCAAGAATATCTTTTCGAACACGTGTATTATCTGGATATCGTTGAAGAATCTAAAAATCAATTTTTAAAAAAATTTATTTCGAAAGAAATAAAGTATAAAAATACATACAAAATGTGCAATATCAATAGCATCTGTAAGCCGTTTTGATTTGAGATAATTGAATGCTAATTTATAACCTATATATTAAAGTAAACAAAAATTTAGTAGAAGTTCAAATTATAGTTATTCACGTTTGATAGGAGAGATTTTTTAAGAACTGACACAAAAAGCACGAATTCTTCGATAGTTTTATGTTTGTTAAAATAAAAAATATATCATATTAGCTATGATGAATAGCGAAACTGTGAGTAATATGCTTATGAGATGATGATAAATTCCTATTTTCAAAATATTCAAATAAAAGAATTAAGAGAAAATTTTCATAAAAATTTAACAGCTCAATACTTTGAGAAATAAGTGTAGCAAATTAATTTTCATATAATGAATAGCTTAAGCTTGAATATAATTGAATTGCGTGAGGAAATTCATTTTCACTAGAGGGTAACAGTGGGGCGTACGTAATACAGGATACGAGATGAAAAGAAGACCTTCATGCACGCATATTCTCTATCGTCATACTCTCCCCAAGCTTAAAATATACACGTTATTTTTTTATGCTTTTCATATTAAAATAAATTTTCCGACTAAATCAAATCTAATTAAAAACTAGAATTCTGCTAGTTTATCTTAAAGAAGTTCGAATAAATTATTATCGATTAACTCTTTCAGTCTATTAAACAAATCGACAAAACTCATATTCTATAATTTTTTTTTCGTCGAACGACACAATGAATGTGTTTTCAACAGCTTTTATCATTCAACTAATGATATCAATAATTTTCGATATGGTTCCAACCGGACAAAAACTACCAGCAAATCAACACTCAACTAGTCGTAGTTCGATATTGAAACTTTCAGCAATGTTCTAACCGTCATCCTATCGAGATATATCGATAGTAGTTCTCCACTCAGCAATCTACCGGTAGTAGTGTGAACAAATATGCAACAACATATGGAGTGTTTTGATTATACTTTGAAATTTAATCTTTCGCTCGAGAAATACGAAACAAAGATTGAATAGATAATGAAGCTTAATTTAACAAAATATTACCTATTGATGGTTGATTTTTTCTACTATATTTCCATGCTTGTTCATAATTTTCTGCTGCATCTTTATGTGCACCAGTTTGTTCATTCATCATTCCCAAAATTTCTAAAGCTCTTGTTGAACACTATTCATTTTAAAAACAATACATATATTTTTTTTGTTCGATTTTATTCCAAACCTTATTAACATTTAAAACTTTTTTACATAATTCAAGTGCTTCATCATATTTTGTTGCTTGAACATATGTCATAGCAAGCATTAACCAACATTGTTCAATTTCATCGGCATCATCCATATTCCAAACTAATTTTGTTGTTTTTTTTAAATATTGTCGTGCTTTTTGAACATTTTTTAATCCAATAAAACATTCACTTATAGCACATAAGGCACCAACATTATCTTTCTACAGAAAAGAAAAATAATAAAATACAAAGAAAAAAAAAAACAAAGACAAATTTTTGTTTACATGATCATTAAGAATTTGTGAAAGATTTTCTGTTGCTTGTTCAAGATTATGTTTTTCACCTGTATGACCCAAACACCAATTTTCTAATACTCGATATCGAATATCATTTGATGCTTCACCCATACTCTAAAAACATTTTATTAACAATGTTCAAATATTAATTAGACAAAAAGAACTAACTTGAAGTAAATTAAATGCTGTTGCTTGAGAAGCTTTGGCTTCATCAAATCGAGGACTAGAAAAAACGAAATTAATTATTTGAAAAAAAGAAAAGAAAAGTTTTTGTCTTTTAATTTAAATATACCCTTGTAATTTTCGTTTCCAATCCTCTTCATTTGAGATTATTTCATTATCAGGATTTAAAACAATTTTAACCATAGCATAAACAGCTTGACGACCATATTGTTTATCACGACGACATTTATTAAAACAAAATAGAGCTTCATTTGGTTTGCATAAATAACTAAATTGAAATTAGTTTTTGAAATTAAAATATTTATTTTCCAAAACAGTTATTTGAATATCGTATAAGTTTGTAATATCGTAATACTTTTATAATTATGAGAATTATTTTATTTATATTAGAGATATTTTTCGGATATATTAATTATTTCAATAATGATTTAGATCATTATAAAAACAAGACGATACTTTCTTAAATAAAGTCTTACTAATTGAGAATTACGTTCCACATTTCGAACAATCTGTTTATGATACTGAACAATTCTCCATTAAAAATTCCTTTCATCATAGTAATCGAATGTATTTTACTACGATCTATTATTTGTTGACTGAGATATATAGCACCCTATAAGAGAAGATTTGAAGCCAGAAAAAAAACCATGGACTCCGATAAATCTAATCTAGTTCCGGTCTAGAGAAAAATTTTCCATAATTTATTTGTCCCACATCTAAAAAAAACTCTTCAATACTCGTTTATTTATTTATTTAGTCGACGGCTAGCATTTTTTTCGAGTCATCTCTCTTGAATTATGCTTCCACTGATATGATTTTATAATATAAATTCGTTTAAATAGAATATTGATGTATCATCTTTAATTCAATTTGGAATAAACTTTTTTCTCGTAATCCCTAGAAATTTCCAAGTGTTAGTTCCGTACATCTTTATTCACAACGCTTCGTGAGTACTCATTGGTACTTCTAATCTTAACAACTATAGTTTTATTAGTCATTGTTTTTATGCTCATGATACAATGACTTTTCAGATGTTAACAGAAACAATTCGTACTAAACGAAATTAAAAATGTATAAAAATTGACTTGTCTTATTGATTTCGAAAAATACTCATGAGCAAAGTCTTCCAATTGATGCCTTTCTTTTGCATCTCAAATTTTGCCTATTAATGGAATTTGATGAGACTGAGAAAAGATCAACTACATTTCTTAGTAAATTAATTTTACAGCTAGAGAATAATTTTACTTGCTATAATCTTCTACTGATATTCTACTTACTATGTANCAATGCAAGCTTTTTGTAAATATCCTATTCGTGTAGAGAAAATTTTTCTAAGTAAAACAAGACGTCGCGCACCTTTCTACGACATTCTTTCATCGAACTGCATTCATTTTACGAAAGACTACTCCGTCGTTTTTACTATTATTTTTCTGCTTTTCTAGCAATTTTTATTGATTTTGATTTGAATGGACCTTTTGTAAAAGCAATGCAGTTCGATGAAAGAATGTCGTAGAAAGGTGCGCGACGTCTTGTTTTACTTAGAAAAATTTTCTCTACACGAATAGGATATTTACAAAAAGCTTGCATTGGAACTCTGTGGTTCGATTTTTTTGGGGTTTTTCAAAATCTTGGTTTTCAGGGACTTAGCTTCCAGCAGTTTTAATGGAATTTTGATATGCACCTCACCTGATTGTAGTCTCTTTCAGCTATTCAGATCTTTTTTCAGATTTGTTCTAGCTATTATGGTTGAAGAGAAAAATGAAAGACAAAAGGTGGACGCTCAATTTTGGCCGCCACTGTATATATATATTAACTTTTGTTTCATGTTTCAAAAATATGATAAAACATATCTCGGATTGGATATCGATGAGAAAATTATGCAAAGATCAAGTCTATCTATACACGATTGACCTCTTTTTTGTGAAACCAATCTAAAAAGAATGTTGAAATTTCGACTCGCTCATAGATCATGACACACAATATATCAATAATGTCTTATTACATTTCTAGAGGATTATGTAAAAGGACGGTGAAGTTTTTCATTAGAACAATAGATTTTTTTAAACTTTTCTAATAACTATTTTATACATTCAATTTCATTTTTATCATCATTTATAGATAAATATCGACATATCAAAAGTCTCTTGTGTATATATATATATTCATAGAATACGAACCTCCATAATACTCATATAAGCATCTCCTAAAATAACTAAAGCTTGTGGCGTTGGATTTCGATCAACAAGTTCTTTATATGTTTTAATATACAATTTTTTATCTCTTCGATGTTTTAAATAAATTTCAGCTAATTTTTCTCTTGATTGTACATAATATGTTTGATCAGGTTTAATTTGTATTAAAATTTCAATTGCTTGATTAATATCACCACGTTTTAAAGCCAAATCAACATTTGTTAATAATATTCTTGATTCTTCACTTGTACCTTGAAATTCAGTTGATGCTTCTTGTAATAATATACTTGCTTCATGTACACGATTAAGTAATAATTGTGTTTCAACTAATTCTAAATAAACACTAACACGATCTTGCATTGATATAGGTACACTTGAAATCATTTGTTCAGTTTTTGTTCGTGGTGTTTTTAATGATTCAGTTTGTTGTTGTTTTTTAACACCAGGTAAATTAAGTGCAGCTTGTAATAATTTACAAGCTTCTTCATATTTTTGTTCTTTTTTTAATATTCTTGCACGTATTAAATGATACATTGGATGATTTTTTAAATCAAAATTATATGATAAACCATTTTCTAATGATTCATATGCTAAATGTGTATTTCCTTCACGTGTATATACTTGTGCTAGAAGAATATATGCTTCAGAATATGTTGCTTCTTGATCAATTATACGACGAAGAACACTTTTAGCTTCATTTGTATCACCAGATAAATATTTTACTTTAGCCAATAGAAAAAGACCTTCAAGTAAACCTGGTACAGCTTTAGTTAATTGTTCTAAAATACCACTAGATTTTCGAAGAGATGGATCAAGTGTTTGACCAGATTCAATTGGCTTTAGAAATTAAAATAGCAAAATGTAAATTTTCTTTTTATGTATTTCAAATTTATTACCTTTAAAGTAGTATTATTCATATATTCACGAACAATTTCAAGAATAAAATCTGGATTTAAGCAGAGTAAATATTTTTTACCTAAGGGTAAACCCTATAAAAACAAAACATATTGAATAAGAATTATCTTTTGTTTTTTTAAAATTATTAATATTCAAAACAAACTCGAAGATTTTTAAAATGTTGTTCAGCAGCTGTATCAAATAATTGTACAATTTGATCTGATGTTAGAACATTTTCATGTTTAGCTAATATAGCTCTTAGATGAGCAAGTTCCTAGAAAAAAAAAGACAAAATATTTCATATTTACAGCAATATTCTATAGACAAAAAAGAAATGATTCATAATTTCTATATTTCGAACAAAAATTTTTTCTTTTACGATCGTTGTATTGGTGGTTTGCTGTGTTGATATTCACTTGTTGTTTTACACTTTCGTACACCACTTTTCAAAATTTAACTAGCGAATAAACCTGCTGTGCACATCCATTGCATCTACAACAACCTCAATACACTATTAGTTATCTTGACTAGCTCAGAAACACTGATATTGATTAATTCTCAAACTTATAACTTTATCAGTTCACGCTTTTTATACTGATCAAAGTGACAACTGTGGCAAATAAATATTTCACTAGCCAGCATCTTTTCTGTTACAGTCAAAATCTTGTTGTTAATGCTGTTCAGCGCGTTTTCCTGTTACTAAAGAACTCATGAAAAGGACTCAGACGCCTGTTGTCCTCGATTGCTATGAAAGCATATCCAATATGGAACATCAAATCTATCGGACAGAAATTGATTTCTCTTGAATGTATAAAGTTTGTTTATTTATCCAAAATGAAGAAAAAAAAATGAGAATGATTTTTAAAATGTAATTTCTAATATCAAAGTTCATTTCACTTACTGCAGCATTTCCACTTTGAACTTCATGTTGAAATTCAATTTGTTGTTTTGCTTCAGCATATTTTCCTTCTAATATTTGACAATGAATAATACCTACAAATATAAATTTGTTTAAAAATTGATTTCTTTCTCATTAACTCTAACTAACCATAAACAGCACCCATATTTTCTGCTTGTGTTCTTGCAGCAGATTTATAGAATTTAATAGCTTCATTCATTTTATTTGCCATTAATGCCTGATAACCACCTTCGATAAGAAAATCTGAATTTGTCGAATCAATTTCTAGAGCACGTTGAAGAAGTGTATCACTTTGTTGAAGTATTTGAGGATTTCGTCCACACTGAAAATGTTTTTTTTTTTTCTTTAAATTTAAATAAAAAAAAATTAAAATGTATATTCATACCACTCTTGCAACAACTTGAGAAATTTCATAATATTGCCAAGCACCTTTCGGTTCAGATATATCAAGTGCTTGTAAAAGTCGAGTAAAAGCTTGTTGAGCCTTTAATAAAAAAAGGATTAAAAAAAATGATTATATATTATTTCACTATCAAAACTTACATCACTATAATTTCCTTCTTTACATAATAAATAAAGATAATGATATTTATGTGCTTCAACACAATTTGCATCAATTCGAAATGCTCTATTTTAATAGTGGAAAATGACTTTGTTGTTTTTCTTATAATTCTTTTAAATTACCTTTGAGCAACATCTTCACATTGTTCCCAATCTTGCATACATAATTGTAATTTCATATTTTCCAATACTGCTGGTAAATAATCACTTTTAGTTGCTAATACACGATTAACAAATTCAAGTGCTTGAGAAAAATTTGAACGTATTTCACGATATTTAGCATAACCAAATGCAGCATCAGGAAAATTATTCTCAAGTCTAGATGAATATAAATAAATAAATACACAAATTCAATTATTATTAATTTTACTTTAAAGCAGCATCAAAATATTGTTTTGATTCTTTAGCAACATCATTAGCAATTAATATCCAACCTTTTAAAGTTATAGCCTATTTAATAAACACAAAAAAAATAAAAATCAGAGATTAATTGTTCAGATTAGAATATCAAATGATTTTTTATTACAAAAACATTTGTTGGATTTTGTTTAGTTGCTCGTTCAATATATTCTGTTGCTTTATCAGCTTTACCAATGATATATAATGTATGAGCAGCATAAAATAAAGCCTAGATATAAAATGGTAAATCAATTTTTATATTTGGAAAAATTGTATTGTTTGTTTTGTTTTTGTTACCGTATCATCTACTTGTTTACGTAATTCTTTGACTTTAACTTCATATTCTGCAATTGCTTCGCGATCTGTAGATTATCAACTTAGTAATAGATGATTAAAAAAATTATTGAAATATATACCTGGTGTTTTATGTTGTTTATGAGCATGTATTAATGCTAGAAGAGTTGCTACTGTTAATTCAGGTTTATTACGTAATTGTTCCAATTCACGCATTGATTCATGCAATCGTGCTAAAGTTATTAAAAATAAGAATTCATGTTTACAGAGCTTATCAAGTCGGTTTTAAATATTCGTTCGGAAATATTCTGATTAATTCGATATTAATGTTAACATAAATCTTCGAGGGATGTGTTTGTCAAACTCTTTATAGTATCTTCGTAGAAATAAGTTATGCATAGTAAAAATAGTCTCGAACCAAAAGCAATCGAACAATTGGAGGACTGATCTTGTAAGAATATTCTAGAATCTTTCAGAAATCAAGAGTTTCGACAAATGTTTAATGTCTTATTCATTAAGTATTTCAATACTTTTATCAAAAATGATTAACTGTATCTTTTTCCAAAAATAAGATTATTTATGATAATGAAAATTAAAATCTTCTTCTATCAATCATTAGCATTTCCGTTCTTATTTTCTTCATTAGATTCTTATATACTACTTTTCAAAAAGTACAATGCAAATATATGGCATAGTTATAGTGAATTTGAACAAAAACCAAAATTCATTTGCAAATTTTAAGATAAGTCTTCCTTATAAACTACAGAAATATCCAATTAAATTATCATGAAGAATTTTCTTTTTAATCTTACCATTCATAAGTTGTGCTAATGCTGAATAAAATTGAAGTATTCCATCATTAACAAAACGTTTTAAACCTTCATTTGCTGTTATATATGCTTGATTATAATATCGCTCACGAAAATAATAAAAAATTTTGCTCTATACATACAATTATTAAATAAAATTTCTTTAAAATAAATTATTTTTATTTACCAAATTATATAAATCTTTTTCAGCCATGTTCAATGCTTCTGAGATATCAACTAAATAGACTTTTCATTTTTCTACCATCGTACATGTTCAAGTCAATCACTGCACATTAGCAACAACCTCTTGAAAATCTTTAACAGAGGTCGTTAGTATTAAGTGATTAAACCAAATTATTTTCTAAATTTCGATAAAATTTTTCTAGAAAAAAATAAAAATATTCTAAATAAATAAATAAATTCTTAAATTTTCTAGATAAAATCTTGATGGATGATCACAAATGGGTCACTCATTCAGTCATTCATTTAAAGATAAATTGAAATGTCATCAAATCCAATAATTAATTCTACTTCAGCAGAATCTAAAAAATCATCTATTCAAGATGAAACATCTAATCAAGGTATTGAAATTCCTGATCCATCAGAAATATTATCAAGTAAACAATCTTCAAATTCAGATTCCTATGAAACTATTTCTGACAGTGATAGTAATGAAGATGATGATGATGATGATGATGATGATAGTGACTTTCCAATTGATTTAACATTCGATTGGCTCGATGAACAAATGCGTGCTGGTACTGATTTACGTCCAATACTTTCTCGTATATTACCCGGTTTACCAGATGATGCATCATCATCAACTATCTATGAAATTTTTATGGATCTTTTATTACCAACTCGTCATCGAGAATTACTTGAACAATATAAAACTCTTGATGATGCTGTTGAATTAATACATACACGAAAAAATATTCTTATTTTAACTGGAGCTGGAATATCTGTTAGTTGTGGAAGTAAATTATTCACATGAATAAAAGAAAGAAAGAAAGCAAAAAAAAATCTTTTATAACTTTTTTTTCTTCTCTAGTTCCTGATTTTCGTTCACGTAATGGTATTTATGCTCGTTTACATGAAGAATTTCCTGAATTACCTAATCCACAATCAATGTTTGATATAAAATATTTTACTCATGATCCTCGACCTTTTTTTCGTTTTGCTAAAGAAGTTTGGCCCGGACAGTATCAACCATCATTATCACATTATTTTATAGCTGAATTAGAACGACAAGATAAATTATTACGTAATTATACACAAAATATTGATTCATTAGAACACTTATGTTCAATAACACGTCTTATACAATGTCATGGATCATTTTCAACTGCAACATGTCGTAATTGTCATTATACAATTAAAAGTGATGAAATTAAAAATGAAATTTTACAACAAAAAATTCCATATTGTTCAAAATGTTCGAAAGATAACAATAATAATGCAATACTTAAACCAGATATTGTTTTTTTTGGTGAACAATTACCAGATGATTTTCATAAAACAATATCAATTGATAAAAATAAATGTGATTTACTTATTGTTATGGGTTCAAGTTTAAAAGTTAAACCTGTTTCACTTGTATCAGAATTATTACCTACACATATACCACAAATATTAATTAATCGTGAACGTTTACTGCATAAAAAATTTGATATTGAATTATTAGGAAATTGTGATGTTATTATAAATGAGTTATGTCTTCGCTTAGCTAAAATTGATCCATCATTTCAATCATTAGAAAATCAAAATGAACAGTTTTTAAATGAAATTTCCTATGAAAACTTACGTCAATCAATGCAACAACAACAACAACAAAGAAAAAAACAAAAAATTTCATCAGATATTGATAATCAATTATCAGTAATAAAATCATCAGAAGAAAATTTATCATCAATTCATCCGAAAACATTAAAATCTAAAATATCAATATCACGAAAACGAACATTATCATCATTTAAAAATTCTTCATTATTTAATGAAGATTTATCATATATATCATATACTCCACGACGATATATATTTGCAGGTGCTGAAATATATTTTTCATCAGATGAAGATGACCTTTCTGATGAAGAAGAATTGCCGAGAAAACATACAGAATGATTCTATAAGTTTGTTTGTTTGTTTTTTTTTTTCTTGGCATATGTTTTTCACTTTTTTATTTATACAATATTAAAAAGAAAAAAGAAACAGGAAACAAATTACGACTATTTAATGTAGCATGCATAAATAGAGATATTATATATGACGAACAATACAATAGATATAAGGAGTAAATATTTGATAAGTACACGCGTAAATAATATAATATTGCCACAAAGATCATTCAAAAAAAAAAATTTCATTTCGTTTTTTTTCATTGCTATTTACACTACTGGCCATAAATCCCTGGATGTGTGATACTCCGCCACAGGTTCGATAATTTCCCATCAAATTTTTACTAGAGATAGAGCTTAAAAAACTGTGATCACCAGCACCAACCAGAGCTTTATCAACTGAGATAGTATGGAGTTATGATTCAAACACTAGTTTCATCTCTGTTTACCTGTAAACCAATATTCACAGTTTTTATGAAAAACAATAGAGATGCTAGAAATCTACGAAAAATAAATGCTCACTACGTATTCCTGTACCACGAAATCAATTAATATTAATAAGCTAAGAAACAATTTAGAGATTAAACAAGACTTCTAGCATCTCGATTGTTTTTCATAAAAACTGTGAATATTGGTTGATAGGTAAACAGAGGTGAAACTACTAGTATTTGAATCATAACTTCATGCTATCACAGTTTTTTAAACTCTATCTCTGGTAAAAATTTGATGGAAAATTATCGAAGCCATGGGGGACTATCACACATTCAGGGGCTTATGGATAGTTTTGTATATATCTAGGAGAAATCTCTATTGCGAAAAACACATGGTGCAATAATAGACCAAAAATAAAGTGCCAAACATGTCCATGATGAAGTAATTTTAATCCAAACAGCTGAATCACTTTGCTGAAAATTATGAAAATCATTCGTGGGTTTAAGCCAACTAAAAATATCAATGAAAATTAAAATATATTTTAATACTACAAAAAAAAAAAAAAAAAAAAAAAAATTTTCTTACTTTGTTAATGTCATCATAACATAAAATGAAGCCAAGAAAAACATAAAATGAAATAATGAATAATTATAAGCAACTGCTTCTTCTTCATCATCGTAACTTGTACCATGATCTAATCAATTGACAAAAAAAAAATTCGATAACAAAAAATAAAATTTTTTTTTGTTTTTGTTTACCAGATTGTGGAACAGAACTTCCTGTTTCTTCATTTCCCGAAATACCCAATAATTTTCCACCTGAAGATTTTGTTGTACTTGTCATTCTACAAAAAAATTTTAAGTTTTTTTTTCATCTTTAATTAAAATCATTAAATAATCTTACGCTGAATAAAGTATTAAACCAAAGAAAATAATCAATGCTACTATTGATGAAACACCAACTGAACCATTTCCAGTTGTTTCAACAATTGTTGAATTATCATTTTTCATAATTCCATACCATGATGGATTACACATTTGATCTAAATATAAATATAATTTTCTTTATTTTTTTTTTCAATATAATTTCTACCTGGTTTTTCACTTGTTATAGCTGACCATGTTAGAAAAATAACATACAATGTAACAAATGATGATTGTAATAAACCCGATGTTGAATGATAATTTTGAACAACCGGTAAAACTGATATAATAGAAACAATGATACATAATACAAAATTCATTGTTACAAAAAATATATTAAGGCCACATGATGGTTTTGATGCATAATAAACATATAGAAGTATAATAGCAATAATTGATAGAATATAAAATGTTGTTGTAAAAAATATCAGACCACAATAATGTTTTTTACTACCTTCTTCACCTTTTGCAACCCAACCTTCATTCCAACTATACAAAAACAAAAATAAATATCAAAAAATTATATTATCTTTTTAAAATAAACCTATGAGCAAAATCAATAAGAAGAATAAGTTGAACTAATATAAATATAAATCCACAAATACTTCCAATAACCATTAGAGCTAAAAAATTTAAAATTCATCTAATAATTAATCGTTCATTATTAAGAAATTCTTTACCTTGTGCAAATCCTTGATTTGGTATAAAAAATGCTCCAACACATATGCCAATAATAATTAAAATTTTAAAAAACCAAAATCTAATCAAAAAATTGTTTTTTAAATATAAATTTCAAACTAATCGAAATCGTCTTTTTTTTTTTTATACCCATTTTGTATTCCACTTCGAGGATCTTTTGATCGTTTAACGCATAACATTAATATCATCATTAGGAAGAAAAAACAGGCAAATGCAAATTGAACACGATATACACTTAAATAACCAACAAATTTTTCACATGATACTTGCCCTTGAAAAACTTCTATACCACCTACTGTACTACCTTTACAAAGTGCCGGAATCTAATTGATAAAATAGGATATATTTGTTTTATTTTAAAAATTTATTTACCTTTGCAAGTGTATTAGCAAGACCAGGTATTAAAAACATCCATGATATAATCATTCCAATAAGTAAAAGTATGCCATAAGCAATACGTGTTGCTATTGAATTACGTGTTGATGGACAACAAGCACAGCAAAGACTGCAAGCTGCTGAACCAAAACAACAACCAAGCTATAGAAAAACAAAAATTTATTATGTTACGAAAAGATAAAAAATTCCGAAATCGAAAAACTTACTGCTCCAATAACACAACCCATATTTGTATAATTTTAATCTGAAATGAATTTAAAAAAATAACAAACACATAAAATTTTCTTATCTGTTTATTTAATGACTTATTTATTCAAAGCAGTATGGATAACATTACAGATATTACTTTTCATTTCTGTGTGTCTGTTTTTCTTTTTATTTTCTATTATTATTAATCATCATTTGATACGCTTTTTTCTTTTCTTTTCCTTAAATGAATCAGTTTTGACGTCATGTATTATATGTCATGAGAGGGCGCTGATCAACAGTAAATACTCATTTAATATTAAATAGAGGAAAAAAGAAGAAGAGTGTGTTGAATGCGGAAGTTACATTCATTGTCATATCCGGGTTTGTTTTATTTATAGTGACAGAAGGCTTTTTTTTTTCTTCTACAAAAAAAGAAACTAGATTATTCTCACTGCGGAATTATAAATATAGCTTCACTGACATGATGAATTTTTTTCAGCTCATAGTTTAACAGTCAAAGCTCGACTACTCTTTTATAGTTTCATACATGATTATAGGTTATTTTCATCCATGAAAAGCTTCATTTTTTCTTGTAATATATATATGTGTTTGAATATAATTATTTGTACATATTGTTTATTAGATTGAAAAATTTTAAAAAAATTGTATAAAACAATTTTATACTCAAGAATTATAATATTAATTAGTATAAACTGCGCGAAATATGTATATTTTTTTTTTCATAGATTCAATGTCTTTACACAAACTGATTATGAATTTTTATGATACATACTATAATTTGACAAGACAAGCTTCACTAGATGTTTGTTTCGTTTGCTTTAAAGACTCAAATAACGATTATGTAAAGTAGATTCCATCAAAGTCTGCCGATCAACAATGGATAAAAAGAAAAAATATTTGAAAATTAATAGTCAAATAAATATTATATTTGGATGAGAACCTCTCGTTGTATACCGAATGGATGAATATATATATATATATGTTTTTGGATACAAAGAATTACTAGAAAAAAAAAGCAGAGACAACATATTTATATGTTTATCACGATGACATACGGAATTAGTTCACGAATCAAAAACACAAATCTAATATTCACTAGTGATGTAATACGTATTCCTTAAGCTTCTGATCGATAGACCAGTGATCATCAATAAATTTAGGCTTTAATTATTTGAATTAGTAGATATGAGGTAAAATTGATTAGCGTATTAAGTACGATTAGATTCTCTATTTTTTAGTCTGTCAATATTTTTTTTGTAAATTAGCAGTAAGAGAAAATGTGTGACATGCATTTTCTGCATTGTTAATCATGTGACAGATCGTCAAAATATAAAAAACGACAACCAGCAAGCAATAGAATCTAAACAAACAAAACTGAGTTTCTGTATATGTTTTAACCAATTTAGTTTAGCATATTCAGAAATGTATCAATTGAGTTTATCTGAATATTTTCATAGATATTATGATGCTTGTTTAGATTGTATTTTTTTTACTATATTTATTAGTTAATCAACCTTTCAGTCGGAATGATGCTCATTTCAGTCAAAACTTTATTATCAAGTTTGTTGGGTTAATCATGTTTCACAAATGCATTTGAAATATATAGTGATTATAATAATTAGATGAAGAATTCTTCTACTGTATAATTAAGCAAAGACTTTTCTTACAACAATCAAGGGGACAGAAACTGATTTCAAAAGATAAGTATGAATGTACTGAAAAATAATAATAATATGGGTCTACATCAATTGTGCGCTAGCTATGAAGAGTTAATGCAAGAGTATATTTGTAGCAGAACTAATATTTTAATTGGTTTCGGCGTACAAAAGGAAAGAATTGAAGATGAATGGTTTTTTCTTAAAATCGAAATCGAAACTTCAATACAAAATTTCTTCATAAAATCTGCTTTTTTCAGTGTTGCGATCTATTGAATGTAGGAGTTTTTATCAATATCACGGGACAAATACACTTATCGACCCCCCCCTCCCCATGCATTGCGCATATATTGACCTAATTCGACTAATTAGCCTCTGAGGAGTTCATCAAAAGTATTCTCAAGGGCCCCAGACCAGTAGTTTAAGAGATAGCGTGCATTTGTCCCGCTTGATACAAGTCTTAGAAAGCATCTCAATAGCTGAGAGTGAAGGCAAAATCTTGATACAGCCGCCAAAGAGCATCTCAATAGCTGAGGGTGCCACGAAATCGTGAACCACATTTAAAGGGCATCTCCATAGCTGAGAGTGCCATAAAACAATATTTCATGGCACCCTCAGCTATGGAGATGCCCTTTGGTGGCTGTATCAAGATTTTGCCTTCACCCTCAGCTATTGAGATGCTTTGTGAGGCTTGTCTCAAGCAGGGCAAATACACGTTGTCTCTTAAACTATTGATTTGGAATCCTTGTGAATACTTTTAATGAACTCCTCAGAGGCTAATATAGTCGAGTTAGGTCAATACATAACGGGGGTCGATAAGTGTATTTGTCCCAATGAAAATTAACCAAATAATACCGAAGAACCTCACAATGAAATAGATATGAAAACATTTTCTCCACAATGTCTTATTAACTTACCGAAACCAATCACAAATTCATCTGAAAGTAACATCAATCGACAAGAGACAACATCTATCAGTTCTAATAAAAGATAACGACGAAATTATTCGAGATTTACTCTGATCAAATTATTTTACCTTTATATATGATAATGAAAATAACTATATACGATAGTTTAAAAAAAAACAAAAATCTTCGTCATCATCTGCTCGTTCAAATCGAATTACATATGAAGTTATGATGTCAATTCCTCTTACATTACATGTTAAACAAACAAAAAAAGAAAAAAAAAACATGTATCAAGAACTGATTAACAAGCACTAACAATAGGTATTGAATTAGCTGAACCATCAATGATTTCAAATGAACTAATAGAACAAGTTTGTTTATTTTTATTTGATAAAAAAAAATCAAAAGTTATTTTTTTAACTTGTTATTTCTGATGTTGTTGAAGCGAAAGAAGAACCAATTGAACTAAATGTATAAGCATATAACTTATTCTTAATTCTAATCAATTCTCTTTAGATTATTTCAATAGATCCAATGGATTTTGACACTTCTCAATAGTAAGTCATCCTAACAAACCAAATATCAATCGAAATTTCTCTCCTTTAGTTCCGATGATTTGGATAATTATGTTCGAAATATCTATCGATCCTGTTCTACAACTGTCTTCATCTCTAATTCTTCAACATCCCATCCAAAACGTATTCGTAAACGAAAACGCTTATATACTGAAGAAACTGAATCAATAATTAAACCGAAACGATCACACAGAAATCCTAGCCCAATATTATTAACTGACACTGAACGTGAACAACAATTTGGTGAACGTTTATCACCAACAATTAAATCCGAACATAATGATGAGATACAAAAAACATTTATAATTGAGACTGAATCTATATCTCAAAAACCAATTGAAAGAGCAAGAACGAAATTTCTTTATTAATGAACGGATAAAGGTTATAATCGGATTGAGTATTATGCAAGGGAGAAAAGGCACGACTTCAGTACTTCACTTGTACTTCAAAATTTTTGCTTGAAGTACAGTGAAATAGAGTGAAGTCTCGCTTTTCCCCCTTGGTATTATGTCATTTGATGCTTATCTGACTTTTATTTCGAATGAATATTTATCTTGTATCAAAAGACGTGATTAAAAGAAAAACAGAAGGATTTTATTCTATCAGTAGTCTTGAAATATGCATGCTTCTTTGTTGTTATTAAGAGAAAGACGTGTTTTGCAAAATAGTTTGAATTGGTTCGCGATATTCTGTTTGATTGATCGGACAAAATTAAATGAATATTATCCTAGAGCCGTTTAGTTTACGTATAAACTTATAAGATTATAAAAGTTGAATAATACTTAACACGATTCGCATTGTTATTTAACTTTCCATATTACGTAGAAATATACATATACATAATTTTACTTTTTATTGTAATTGAAACAGCAGAAAAACTCAATAATGATCAAAATAAAATCTCATCATTTCGTTTAACATCCTTTTATGCACATTATTATTAATACAAATATCATATGGTACGGATAAATATTGTTGAAAAATACGAACATCAACTAATCAAACATTTTATCAAAATCATTCGATTATATTTGGTTTTCTTGTTGGAATTATTCTTACAGCATGTCTTTTAATAACATTAACATTTATTTGTCATTTACTTGATAAACAAAAACACTGTCCTCCTCCTCCTTCTCTATTCCATCCTCATCATCAACGTTATATGTATATATTGATTGAAATAGTGATGGAACATATTCACATTCTATCGTTTCTTCTCCATCATCAAAATATCATCATATTAGGAAAAGAAAACATATTTAACATCTACTCCACCATGGTATCATAATAATTCGAAACAATTATCATCAATTCTATATTCACCTTGTTATTTTCTAAAATATAATGATAGAACATTAATTAGTAATACAACTACAAATCGTATAACAAGTTTATCATCTGAATATAACAATAGAATTGATAGAAAACAAATTATATTAACATCAATTATGAATAATAAAAGTTTAGATGAACAATAGAATAATATTATTATTCAAACACTAGCTAAACATCTTTATGAAGAACTTAGTGATACTAATTTATTTCTTTGATATATTTGTGTACTTTTTTTTTCTTTGAAAGTGTTTAATTAATATGATAAATTTAATTGTCAGGAATACAAAAAGATTTTGATAAAAAAAATATTTCCTTTTCTTTTTTCATGAATAATTAATTTTTTTACACATTCATCAATTATGAGAAAACTATTATATTTAAATTTAGCATTTTATTATGCTTTCTTTGTATATTCAAAAGGCTTTTAGTATTACTTCTCTGATGACACTAGAAGAATTTTATTTATGATATACTAGTTAACTTCTTGTTAGAGGACTGCGTATAAGAAATAAAAAGTTAATAAAGGATTAGAAATATCATCTAAATCTTCTAAGTATATACGGCATATTTATTTTTATTATATAACTAAAATTGATTAGACCTACAAATAAACAATTACATTTGTGATAAATTTCATTTCTTAAAAACCTTTCAAATAAAGTGTTATTTTCAGATAAAAGTCGTGCTTTGAAAATTCTCTTTTTCCAACAGGCGTTATTTATAAAAAAAAAACATCAGAAAAAAACTGTATTTTTGGACGCATCCCTTACCTCTGCCTAAAAGTGTCCGATATTGACTGACTTATTCCGTCCATATCCAAAAGGACTGCTCAAGCATAGAATGAAAATTTTCAGTTACTTTCTCTTTCCTTACAAAAAATCATGACCGATATAACGTCAAAACTGAGATCTACTGTATATTTTGTCAAATTGCTAAAAACTTTATATTTATATAAACAAGCTAAACAGCTGTATTGTTAAACATTTTGAAGAAATTAATTGTATGTAAACAGTAATTGAAAATAATGATCATTACATACATTCACGTACATGAAGAAAATAATCTTTGAAATGTTTGGGAAGTGAACAAATAGTATTACTATACCAATAATTTCTTTTTGAAACAATTAATTCGTGTTGAATTTCTTATAAAATTGTGTGTAACTTTTTCTAGTAATCGATGATTGGTAACAAGATCCATATTGTATGATAAATATGTTTTAGTATCATCTAAGAATTATTCGATATAATCCTCATGAATTCCATATAGATTAAGATAAGTAAGATGAGGATATTTAACAATCGAGATATCTTGCTCATCATCTTTTGATTTTCTACATTGTTTATGCTTTTGTAGTTTTTCATTAATTAAAGTTAATTCTCCGATCAATGGAAATGATTGAGCAATACGAAGAAAAAATTCATATTCAAAAGATCGTTCATCAAATAATGATATTTCACGAACACATCCAAATAATCCCTATGGAAAATTATTTGTTATATTATTGTACTCTTTCAATGTATATGGATATGAATAAATACGACATTGACCTTCTACTGCTTCTGAAAAATAATCAACACAAGAAATAACTTGATTATATTTAAAGTTTCTGAATGTATTTTGAATATTTTCATTTGATGGCAAATCAATTTAATTATCAAGACGAATGGTTGAATGAATGTTAAATATAAATTTCTTTAATCGTGCCATATGATGGATAATATCCTTCAAATTGTTCCTATCAATAAATCGTTTTTGCCGACGATTTCGAAATTCAAAATAAATTCTTCTAAATTCGACATTCGATGTAGAACTGGTACAACTATTCCATCATATGCATTTAGAACTAGATCGGAGTATAGCACAAATAATCTTAAATTAGGGAGTTTTCCATAAAAGACAACATTATTGACTCGTTTACATTATATATTAAACAAAATAACCTACTTTATTATTGACTTTTAAACGTGAAGTAATTGTAGAAATATTAATATAAAATGTACGTAGTTGATTGAAATGTTCATCAAGTAAATAAAGACAATTAGTGAAACTACTCAAACTGACGTGCAATTCTATTGAAAATGAAACAAAATTTAAATACTGTAAATTGGTAAACATAGTAAAGATATGTGTAAATATAAATGTATTCACATCTTTTGTTAAACTTCGATTATCATTTTAACTCATATGGATAACAAGTGATAAAATTTTAGAGTATTCAATAATGTACACTGTTATTGATTTTAATATACTTCCTATTTGTTCCAGAATAAATGATAATGAAAAAGTAAAATATCTTATCAGAAAAGAGATATTCTGCCTTTCCTCTTTCAAGACTATATAAACCAAGTCCACTTAAATTAGGACAATTTGTACCAAGAAGAAAACGTCGCATTGGTGATGATTCAAGATTAAGCCATTTGACTTTATGATGAATTTTAGATAAAATTTGTAAACGAAATCGGTCAAGTACTGGATAAGGCAATCTATAAATATTATCATTCGAGTAATGATTCAGTAAATTCAAATGACTTGTAAAGATTGGATCATTTAAAATTTAATTGAAGCGTTTATTAACGCCAAACAAAGAATAAAGTAGTGTAACATTGTCCACTTTTTTGAAAATAATCAAAAGAATTTCATTGGGTAAATCAGTCAATTGAAGACATAAATATTCCATGTTTTTCTTTATCTATCGATTCTTTTTTAGCTTGCAATTGTCTATATATATATGTCGTATCGAAGTTACACCGGTCGACGAAGTTATTTTTAATTCACTTATCAATAAATAATTAACTAAACTGAATATTCTACTCCTGAATGTTTGATAAAAAATACACTTTTTGCTAATAAATATTCGTTTATTTGAGAAAAGATCGACAATGAATAAACGAACGAAAGAAAGATAAGATTTCTCTTTTATTCTCGTTCAATATATCTAATATAATGATCATTTACAATTACTGATTGTTTCTTCTATCCTAATAACAGGATATTTATAGTTTAACAAAACTAATAAAGAGTTATGTTGGAATTGACTCAATTGTTGACGAACTTACTTCTCTGAAGCTAAATTGTCAGTGTACTTAAATTATAACATCAATTTACGTTTTCTATTTATTAAATCAATTGTTAGTATTTGATACGAATATCTTAGCTTCTGTTATTTTAATCATTTGATTATTGTTCTAAATCAATCTTTTTACTTATCAAATTTATAAATTTAATAATCGTCATATTCTTATTGATTTCTTTTTATCATATCTGTCATTATACAATCAAATGGAGAGTTTTTTCATAGAATAGCATCGTTTAATTCTTGAAAAGTTAATAAATATCATTGAACGATATATAATACATCTTCGAGATTTATTTTTGAGAAATTGTTATTCTTTAATTTATCAAAAAGATTAAGACTGACAATCAATAGCATCAACAAACTGAACTTACCTTATTTCTCTGTCATCATAAGAGTTGAACGTCAGAATATTTATATGAGCATTTTTTATGCTTAGATTAAGATTATCTGAATGATAATCTGCTTATCCCACCTCATGGTATTTAGAGAGAAAAATCCTTGAAATTCAATCAATATTTCATTTTTTAAGACAAAAGTTTAATTAGTTGTCGACAAATTTTCATTAAGGTGTGCTCCTTCCCGCTCAAAAATCGATTTTGAGCCAGATACACTCAAATCATATGAAATTTTTCAAAAAAGAAGGGTACAAAATAGTTCATTAGGTAACCCACAATTTTCTTTGAACCCTAATTCTATATACTAAACAGAGAATGAAAAAGTATATATATTTATTATTCAATTCGAGTCTTGTATTAAAGTGAAACAGCATAAACTTGAATAGATAAGTTTTTCTTTGAAGTAATAATCAAAGTATCGTGTTACACAATGAAAGTACATTCAACTCAACAGTTCGTTTTTCTTCTGAAGTTATGAAAAAGAAAACGAAGACAATTAGTGTTTATCATAACATCCGTTTCATTAAAAAAGAATTATATTATATGAAGATAGTTCAGGCGAACATAAGATGGATCAAAGGACTAGTCGTGACAATACGTCTTGTCTAGTCTTTTTGTCAAAAAGTTCTAGTACATGATTAATTCAAAATTATTTACACTCTACAATTCACGTCCTAAAGTCCTTCCAAAAGTGATTTTCAATGAAAAAATAAAGAAGAAGATAAGATTTGGTCATACATTCTAACATACTATTTAATACAATCTTAATTAAAGTTTTTCAAATTTTATCACGAATAAAAAGTTGAATAATAGAATGCAGAATTAATTACATAAAGTATAATTCTGTAGTTTTAGCATAAAAAATACAAATCTTTTCTTTCCAGAGAGAGGTGCTCGATAAATCCTTGTGAAATGAAGCAAACAAAATTACAAAGTGATAGACTGAATATGATGAAATACATAAAAGCATGACTTCGTTGAATATGTCGATGAAGCTTCAGACTAATCAACTTGCTGTTGTTCGATTAGTTTCAATTATATATCAAACGAACTGGCACTACACAGCTATTTAAACTATTTCAAAATGATATCTGCCTGTTGTTAGATCGTAGTTTGCCATTAGATGACTCATCAGATGTCGAATACTGTCCGATCAAATGTTCGAATCGACTAGTTTTACTAGTCCAAGCGTAGTTGAAGGACATTCTTCGAAAACGCGACTGATCCTGATGAATAGCGTGGACATTTTAGACTAGTTTTGTTGGACGTCTTCATTTATTTTTTGCTTACTTGTGGTATGACTTTGTATTTACTATAACATATGTTTTAATAAATTTTTAGACGCCCAGCTTTTACAATAATTTAATGGCACAACAGCTAATATTCTGTCAGTAATCTACGTGGGTCATTCTGAAAGTTTTTAGATTTGCAATACTGTTAGCTTAGTTTGAAAGAATTTTATTATATTTGTTCGAAGTAATGTCCTTGTGCACTAATGCACTTATTCATTCTTTCGAACCACTTTTCATAACATTGGTAGAAATCATCTTTTTGAAGACAGTCTATTTGTGTTCTGACAGCATCATGAAGTTCATTAATATCCTGGAAGTTTTTACCACNATCTTTAGTTTTCGTCTTTTTTCAAATATACCTAAAACTATTTTTGAGCCTAGTCATCTATGGTTTTGTAGAGAATTTTAAGCGCTATCTTTTGATAATAATGAGAGCTTTACTTACAGTGATAATAGACAGGAAATCTTAAAAATACTGGGAGGCTCATTATTCCTGGGACACCCGATATTATGCGAACGACTGCGTATCGAACAATTACATTGTGAACAGCAACACTCCATGACAACAACGGTACCATTTGAAGTATATCGTGGGCAGGGTTTATCTATTCAGGACTTTGAGAAAATGAAACAAACTAAAGGTGGACTTATGTCTTTTAATAATTTTCTTTCAACAAGTCGAAACCGTAGTATTTCATTGGAAAAATTTGCACGCCTGGCGACCTTCGATCCCAATTTGGTTGGCATACTCTTTGTTATGACTATCAATTCGACTCTCCGTAGTACATCATCATCGACCCCTTTTGCTGATGTCAAAAAAGTCGGCTACTACCAGGATCAAGAGGAAGAGATTCTTTTCTCGACGAACACAATTTTTCGTATCGATAAAATTGAACAGATCGTTGACAAACACGCTGATCGTCTATGGCAAGTTAATCTCACCTTCACGGATAACGACGACAACGTTTTAAATACCCTCACAGCACACATACGCAAAGAGCTCAGTTCAGTACCAACAGGATGGTCTCGGCTAGGTCGTATACTTATTAAAGTGGGCGAGTCTGCCAAAGCAGAACAACTCTATCAGCATCTCCTCCTCGATAAGACATCTTCCGATAAAGAAAGAGCGAGCTACAATCATCAACTTGGTTGGGTGTATGATGACATGGAAGAGTATTCGAAAGCACTTTCCTTTTATGAACGAGCACTCGATATCCTACAAAAAACTCTCTCTCCGAATCATTCCACACTGGCTTCTTACTACAGCAACATCGGCTCGGTGTATTATAACATGGGTGAGTACACGAAAGCACTTTCATTTTATGAACGAGCACTAGACATCCTACAGAAAACTCTCCCTCTGAACCGTCCTGGTTTGGCTACTTGCTACAACAATATTGGTTTGGTGTATAACAAAATGGGCGAGTACTCGAAAGCACTTTCGTTTTACGAGAAAGATCTGGAAATCTGCCAAGAGACGCTTTCTGGACACCATCCCTCGTTGGCTACTTCCTACAACAACATCGGCGGTGTGTATTGTAAAATGAACGAGTACTTGAAAGCACTTTCATTTTACGAGAAAGATCTGGAAATCAGTCAGAAAACTCTCCCTCCGAACCATCCTGACTTGGCTACTTCCTACAACAACATCGGTTTGGTGTATCATAATATGGGTGAGTATTCCAAAGCACTCTCGTTTTACGAACGAGCACTCGATATCCGTAAAAAATCTCTTCCACCAACGCATCCGCATATCGCACAATCGAAAAACAACATTGAACTTGTAAAAAAGAAATTGTAATTGATCCTTTTTTGCTACAATAAACTTCATTTGTTTTTTTAATTTATTATCGATTTGGTTTTTCTATTACAATACTTCTATTTGGTCATGTGCGATCAGAGACATCATCGAACCTTGCTGGAATAGTACAATGAACGATGCCAGGAATAGTCGGTCAACCATACATGTGTCTATAGTATGCAAAGTGACGACTAGGACACACATGTATAGCAGGACGAAGCAACGGAAGAGAAGAGCGAAGACACAATGAAATAACAAGAACAGATGATGATATCGTCAAATGAACTATATATCGTCAAAACCAGTTGTGTATGATTAATTGTGTCTTTGCACATTTCATAATAAATATAAAGGTTAAAAACTATTCAATTTTGACGGTTTTTCTTTTTCTCTAACGTCTAAAATACGAGTACATTTAGTATGGAATCGAGGGAAGAGAAAGTAAATAAATATTCAGCCAATTAATAATTATTGGTTGTATTCATGTAAAGAAGCAAAACTAGAATTAAATAAAATATGACGATTTGATGAGAAATTAATTTTAAAAACATGAAAAACTAATTTTTTGATTGAACAATTTATAAACAAATGAGTGGTCCATAAATAAATGCTACAGTTTGAGTGTTGTTTTTGAAGGACGGACACATTGCTCAAAAGAGCTCATTCAGTGGAGAATTTTTCGTTCTAGAAACATGTGGACTTCATTTTTTTTAAATAAATTTTTCTTGTCGACGAAAAATTGAAAATATTGTTAGCTGCTGCACTTCTCAATTGAAGCCTTCTGTTATTTTATGCAAACATCTAACAATTTGTGCAATCTTATGCTCA